AAATTATAGGATATTAAATGAGACTTTCTCAACTCATCTTCATTTGAGGCTCCAATAGTGTCTAAAATATAATTAAAGGAATCAAGTACATAGGTACCCTACAGTGGGGTTCTATATACTCCACACTTGACACAAGAAGAGACAAAACCGGTTCTGCCTGTAATAGTGTTCATCCACTCCCCAGCCTTCAGAAGACAAGACTTGAGAAGCCAAGAGAGGCAGTTCTGGGTTTGCTGTGTGTTTCCTCTCACAACCCGTGAGGGTAGGATGAGGCAGGGAGGGGGGATCAAGGGATGGGGACTTTAAAGAATGACTCAGAGCCTGATATGAGTCTCAGAGTTTTGGAAATCTAAGGACTGTGTCTAACTCCTGCTTGGAAAAAGATAACGGTGAACGCTGCTTATTCAGCATCTCAGGGAGAAGGGGCTGTTCTTGGGACCAGCAGTGTGACCTTTGATAGCAGGACAAAAATGCCTGAGGTTTCCAGGTGAACAAACCACGGGAAGGACTACACCGATTCTGGATCATTTTCAAGGATATTTCACTCCAAGGACAACCTAGTGGGCAAAAGGATCCAAAGCAGTTGGAGGGCAGGTGGGGAGGTGACCGGCAGAACCCAAAGTCTGACGGTTGTGTTCATTTGCCGGTTAGAGTGACATCGCACATAAGGGAAACAGCGATTGAAGCCTTCAGCTGAAAAGTCTCTGGAAAGAACAAAACACAAGACAAACCCTTCTCATGAAAGCGAAGCAGCGTTGTATATCTATCCTGTCCCTCAAATTCCTGCTGTAGCTTCACTGAATGCTGTGCCCTTTGCTCCTTTTCCTTTCTTCCCTCCAACCTGAGCCTGAGGGGGAAGATTAGAAGTCAGCGAGTGCATGGAGAAAGGGGAGGCGTTAGGATATGGTACAAAAGCCACCGAGCTTCAAATCCTGGGGCAGACCCACACTAACACTGAAGAAAACCATTGCTTTGAATATGCACTTGGAGTCTTGATTATCACACTGAACTGTTTTTTCTTAACTTGGAAACTTTCAAACATATATCAATGTAAGGAGAAGGGAAGAATGAGCCCCTAGGTTTTTTAGTAATTCGACTTCAGTCATTGCCCAACCCAAGAGCCTTTTTCATTTCTCTCCCCACCTGCTTCTCCCTCTCTACTGGATTAAAATGAAGCAAACGTCAGATATCTGATTATTTTATCAATCATTTCCAAAATATGGATTCTCTTTTAACATGATTACAGTGTCAGTATCACACCTTAAAAATTAATATTTATCTGTATCACCAGCTATCAACTGTTCAAATCTTCCCAGTTGTGTCGTCATGTCTTTGTGTAGTCGATTTGTTTTTTACTCTGAAAGCTAAATCCTCACAGGTTTGATGAAGTCACCTTTTCATCTGTAGGTTCTCTTCCAGACTCCCAGGTAGTTTGTGTCTTCTGGACATACCCAGTTACAACTCCATCTTGTCATTTGCCACATTCTTTTATCTTTTATATTTCCTATGAACACAGAAGTCTTGCAAAAATAAAAAAAAATCAAACACGAATCTAACCAAGCCTCTCCTCAGATTGCTGCGTGGGTGGTTTGTGTACTTCCTCTTGCATCACTCAGGAGACTCTCAGTGTCTGGTTGCCTCTCTTTCTGTGATGTTAAAGATGGGTCAGTGTGTTGCAGTGTTGCAGCTTTTTGCAAAGGTGCTGTGTTTTTCCACTGGCTTTGCACATGGTGATTTTAGTGGCCGTTAAATCTCAGGATTTCAAAATCCAGATGTTCTATCATTCCTTCCATTTATTCACTTCTCCAAAGAAAGATTTTAACTCATTCAATATTTGATTACTAAACTGAGATGTAGTTCTCAGGAAAATACAGGTTTTTTGTTCTCAGCTTTTACAATAATAAGTTAGATCTTCATTAGGCTCTAAAAGTGATCAGTGATTTGAATTTTTTCCAACTATCTTATGAACTCATGATTTTAACATTTTTATTGTTGTTCAGTTTATTGCAGTTATTATTCCTTTTGATACCTCAATGGTTCTATCTTTGGCCAGGAAACATTCTTTCAGTGTGTCTCCTGTGACCTGAACTTTTAAATCAAAACCAAAAAAAGCCTATTTGTTTTTCCTAAAAGGGATGGAGAAAACATTGGCCTTTCTAAAGTTACATTTAAGAGTGAATAAAGACTAATCCCAGCAAGTGGTTTTGAAGGCTCTATAAGTGAGAAAATAAAATTATTTATAATTTTATTCCTTAGACAGTTGGCAAATAAAAGACTCTGTGACTATTATAATAGCTCCAGCTATTTTGCTTTTTCTGGGTGAGAACACTTCAGAAAGTCCATACATGTTTTAATTTAAACCAACTAGGTATAAACCTAGCCTTCCCAATGGAATTTATAGTGTGGTTTGAGAAAGTAGTACATAGTATTAGTTAGAATTAGATTTGCTGCTAATGACAAAATGCAAACCAGCAGGGTCTTAGAAAATAATTTATTTCTTTCTATATTTAAAAAAAAGTAATCCAAGGCTAACATGGAAGATCCATGGTCATCCAGACCTCAAGCTCTTTCTGTCATATACATTCCATTATCCTCAACATGCAACTTCCACTGCTCCAGCCAGTACATCACCATTCTAAATAGCAGGAAGGAGGATAAAGGGAAGAAAAAGGATATGAAGATTCCCATTAAAGACCCTTCCACTTTGCTATAGTCTGTTGGTCAGAAAAGAGTCACATGAGTATACGTAATTACAATGGAGGCTGAAAAATGTAGTCTTTATTCTGGTTGGCCAAATGATGTCCAGGTAGACTTCAGGGTGTCTGTTATTCCCAAAAGAAGAAGAAAATACATACTGAGGAAAAAAGCAATCCCTACCTCAAGGCCATATTTTTAAAAACACTACCTCTTTTGTGCAGTACATTTACACATATGTCTTAACAATTCAAAATAGGGAGATCATTTAAAATATTCTCTACATCTTCCTTCCTGAGTATTGTGATTATGTGAGAATGTCCAATATATAAAATAAAATTAAGCTATAATCTGGTAATTACATTTAAAAATGAACTTTAGAGACTTGCACTCCTGTACAGCAATAATGAGCATTTTGTTGCCTTAGCTATCCCTATCCATCTGCTTCCACTAGGATGTCTTGGTTATTAACTGCATGGTGGAAGTGAGTCTCAATCTGCACTTCGGCTGTGCCCTGACTCTAAGGCAGGATGCATGACTGGCACTCACTCCTCACGGAATGTCTGGGATTCAGTCCTCAAAGGACCCTCCCAAAGAGGCTGGGGATCAGGGACAGCAAGTAACTCGCTCAGAGAATAATAGCTTAGTAAGCGACAGAGCTGGGATCCCAACTCAAACTCTTCTGTGTCAATTTTGTGACTCTGAAGGGTCTGCTTATTTTCTGCTCTTCTACAAAATTTCAAGATAAAAAAAAAGTAATCTTTTGTATGCATCACAGAGAAACTTCTATGGGATCTAATTTAATTTTTAAAAAATAATAAACCACTATATGTCTGCTAAGAGGTATATGTTGATTGTCTCTTTTATTTGTCTCTCCCAATTTGGTGATTATACAGTCAATAAATATTTCTTAAACATAGTCTTCATGTGCTTGGCTTTTTGATGGGTGCTGAGTATATAATAAAGAGCAACACCACACATATTCTTTATGCCCCTGGAGTTTCCAAACTAATGGGCGACAAACAGTCCAAAATCATTCTCCAGAGGGTACAATTAAAACTGTCACAAGAGGTATGAAGAGAAAGTTATAAGGTGCCATCTCTGTGTGTGTAATTGCTGGATTTGACTTAGGGGAACCAGGAGGACTTCCCCAAGGAGCTGCCATGTAAGCAGAAGCTGACAATATAATTTAGAGTTAACCAGGAAGTGAAAAAGCACGATGTTTTCAGGCAGAAGGAGCAGCAGGTGCTAAGTGGTGTGAGAGGCGTGCACAGGAGGGCTGGGGTGAGAACTTCTGAGCAAGCTATAACGTGAGGGTGACCCAAGAGCCCTGCAGTCTCTGGTGTAGGGGCTTGTTGGTCTCTTTCGTGGGTGAAAGTGCTGAGGCTCAGAGCCATTGAGCAGTTTGCCGGCAGTCTCACAGCTCGCAAGGTGGTGGGACCAGGATCTGGCCGTGTCAGGGTGAATAATGGCCCTGACTGAAGATGTGCCTGCCCTAATCCCCACCCTGTATGTTAGGGTACATGGCAAAAGAGAATTAAAGTAGCAAATGGAATTAGGGTGCTAATCGCCTGACCATAAAATAGGAAGACCATCCTACGTGACCCTAGATTGGATGGAGCCTGTGCAATCATGAGGGTCCTGACATGTGGAAGGGGGTCACCAAAGAAGCAGTTACAGAGGTATAAGGCAAGCAGTGCTTAGTGTGCTGTTGCTGGCTTTCAAAAAGGAGGAAGAGGTCCAGACCCAAGCAATATGGGTGCTCCTCAGAAGACAGGAAGGTCGGGAACACAAAGCTTACCCCAACAATGCTCCAGAAAGGACCACAGCACCACAGTGAGACCCATGTTAGACTTCCAAACTACAGGACTGTAAGATAATCAACTCGTGTTACTTTGAGGTACCATATTTGTGGCAATTTGTTACATCAGCAACAGAAGCTATGTGCCACACTCTTGTCGTTTGTGTCAAGTGTCTTAACCCTTGGAGGGGCTAAACCAGGATGTATAAAAGTTAAAATCCAGTCCTCAATACACATTGGAGTCTAAGTTTCCTCTAATATCTTTTTTCAAACCATGCAGCTAAGAGCATATACATTTTTTACATGTGCCTCTGGGTTTTGTGAGTTTCGAAAGGATGTGGTTGTGGCCTTTGATATCAAAAGAGAAGCTCGATGTCAGCTGAAGGTTGATAGAAAGATAACACGGGAGGCAAGTTGCCTTTGAGAGGCTCCCTGAAGATCAACTGCCTCCTGGTCACAATTCTGGTTCAGAAGCTGCTTCCTCTGATTGTGCTAAGGGGTGATGCCCAAGACGCATCACTTTTCAAGAACTGGATCATGAACAACTTCATCCTCCTGGAAGAACAGCTAATCAAGAAATCCCAACAGAAGAGAAGAACTTCTCCCTCAAATTTTAAAGTCCGTTTCTTTGTTTTAACCAAAACTAGCCTGGCGTACTTCGAGGATCGTCATGGGGTATGTAACCACATTCTTCTGTGTTTTCTTTTTTCATAGTATTTTATACTGGGACTGGGCTGACTCCAGAAGATATACACAGAATAAAATAGAACACATGCAACATGAACATGCTGGGTGTTACAACCAAAATACAATACGAGTGCTCAGAGGAGAATGTGGAAAGCAGTCAAGAGGTGAGGTGTCGTACTTGACAGTTTTGACCCTGAGAAGTGGAAGTTTGGACCCATCAGCTTTTTAAAACAAAGCTAAATTTAAGTTTTAAATTATAATAATATTTTATGTGGCAAATTTTGATTGGGTAGAACTTGAACTTTGTATGAAATGTGCTACATTTTATGGGTCATAGATTAATAAAATATTAGTATTTGGTGGGACTCAAGGGATAATCTAGCTAGATTTCCTTATTTTACAGTAGAAGAAATAGTATTTAGAATGCTTAAGTGATAGATCCAATGTTAACATTTTTATGAATTCAACTATTTGTCTCGGTTGTCAATGCTGCCTGATACCTTGAAACAATAATCCCCAGGCATTTAATAGTCTGAAATTTACAAGGCATAATGCCAAGCTACTTTATCCCTTGGAAAAAGCCCCAGAAGACTAGTGTATCATGTACAAAGTATTCTGCATGTGCACAAGCACACCTTACCTAGAGGATCATGGCTGCTTAGTGAGACCAGGCTTATTTATGCAACTAAAACCATTCCCATATTCTATAACATCAGTGAGAGCAAAAGAAAAATTAATAAACATAACAATGTAGCTTGGAAGGAAATGCACTGGGTGAGAGATCAGGAGATCACATTGTGCTTTTCACTGAGCGATTGAGCCTGGGAAAATGTCTACCTCCTGCTTCAGGGTTTCTCTTTACAAAATGAAAGGACCAGAAATAACCTGTAAGATCCCTTCCTTCTTCAGGAATCTTTTGTTTCTCTGCAATGGTGCATGTTTAGTCCTTTTCTGTCTTCTCTCAAAGCATATTTGATTTCTTATTAAATCATTGTATTATTTTTACATCAGTAGAGAAGTAGAGCAGAGATTATCATTTATATTTTGCCAAAGGGGAAACAATATTAGGTGTTTTGTGGTCACTTAGAGACAAAGGTGTTCTGATTCTTTGTTGGCGTCTGACCTGCTGGGTCCACATAAGTTTGGAGTGATTGGAGAGCCAGGCTTGGAGCATTAATGGAAGGGAATCCTGGAGGGGGTCAGGCTGGGTATGGGCCTCTGGATGCTTGGCCTTCTGAAGTTGTAGGTAAAATAATATGCCACCTTTTCTTTTCTTTTTCCCCATTAAGTTTATTGGTACATATTAGGTATAAAATATGGTTAGATTCATCATTGGGATCTTGTACCTTTACATGAGTCTCTTGGTTCTTATTTTTTTTCCCATTCCCCTGCCCTCCCTTCACCCCCTCCGCCCTTCCCTATTTGCAAAGACTTTGTTTCCATTTTTTTCCTTTTCTCATATTTTTTCTTTTCCCTTCTTTCTTTT